CTTTCTTTTGGAGGAAAATTGTTTGCTGGTCTCTTATGTCCGGAGAGTGTCTGACCCTGTGCAAACACCTCATTCTACACACACACACACACACACACACACACACAGCGCACTCAGAAATGTTCTGCCACAAACCCATACCTACTTTAGGTTCAAAGGTATGGGGCGGAGGAAGACTAGCCACAGGAGACCTAGCATTACCTGGATAAGTTTTACTTCTGGTCCACAGAGGATTTTACTCGGCAAGATGTTAAAACATCAAGCAATCAGAATCACTGTCTTCTAACACATGATAAGATAAAATCTGATAGTACAATGTGAACTTTCAAATAGATATGAGAATCTTTAAAAAAGCAGGGGGAAAACAGGACGAAATCTTACCCATGCTATTATTAAAGCCTTGCACTCATGAAGTCAGTGAACAAGAACTGGAAAGAATGGAGAGGTATTTGCTAGGGTAATAAATGTTTCTCTTTTTTTTTTTAAATGATGGTGCCAATATACCAAGTATCTACTCAATGGTGTCTCATTTAAAGACCACAGCAACCCCTCAGCAACATAATTATCCCCGTTCTGTGGATGAACAAAGGTAGGCTCAATGTGGTAAAATCACACAGGCAAGAGGCTGTTTGCTGGCTTTCCAACCCTTGTGTGCCTTTCTTTCTGTCCCTAAGCAGGCTGTGCAATTCATAGGGAAGAACTTCTACTTGGCCCAAATCAGTAGTTTGGATGTTAGAATTCTGTTCCACATTTTAAGCTGCAATTATCCAAGATGAAAAGGCCAAGAGACAGCAGCCTCAGAACTGAACTGAAAATACTGGGAAACAGAGGGACAGCTATGTGTACAAAGGCATGTCTCAGAACAAAAGCATGACCTAAAGAAGCAGGCCCTCTTAGCATTCTCAAAAATCCTTGAGGCCTCCACATAGAAACCTGCATATGGATGTTTATAACATATTTATTGGAATTTCTAAAAGTTGGAAGCAACCCAGATGTCCATTGGATAATGGATAAACTGTGGTTCATCTAGAGTATTAATCAGCTTTGTAGGGTAAATGGTTTCGTAAATGGTTTTCAGGCTTTTTTGCCATCCAGCCATTAGGATTGATGATGGATCCTTGTGGTCCTGAATGCACGTCTGAAGGCGGGCACCTGGAGTAGGGTGTGGGCATATGTAGATGGGATTCACCTGGGCTAAGACTGTGCTTATAAGAGTGGCATCATGGGGACGCCAGCAGAACCAGGAGAAGCAAAAGAACCACACGAGCAGCAGAGAACAAGACCACCAGAGAACGCCGGAGAGCCCAGAAAAAGTGAAGACTTGCCTGCCAGCCTCCTGGCAGCCTCCTAGCCCCCTGGCACCCCTTGCTAGCCGTGTACCTGTGTAGGGTAAAGAAAATATCAGGCTTTTCTGCCCTTCCGCCATCAGGATAGATGATGGATCCTTGTCCTGAATGCATGCCTGATGGCGGGCACCTGGAATAGGGTGTGGGCATAGGTAGATGGGATTCAGCTGAGTACTGACTGTGCTTTTAAGGGCGGCATCACGGGGATGCCAGCAGCAGCAGCAGCAGCCGAAGCCGAAGCTGAAAGAGAAGCCAAGAAGCAGCAGAACGAACTCCAGAGAGCTCAGATAGAGTGAAGACTTGCTGGGGGCTGGGAGGCCTGCCAGCCTCCCAGCCCCCCAGCCAGCACCCCTGCCTGCCATATGCCTGGTGAACCCCTAATAAAAAACCTGCAAAACTACTGAGGACTCTGACTCCTCCTTTACCCGGTCTGCATGGGATCAGAAAACCTGCACTGTGCCCAGTCCTGCCCCTACAACCTGGTAAATCCCAATAAAAGTCTGAAAAGCCACTGGGGGCTCCAGGACTCTCCTCCTTTACCCCGTCTGCTCGGATCATAGAGATTCTACAGTTGGGGAAGAAAGGACCACGATTCAGAGCTCGCCAATTAGGACAAAGGGAGAAGCCTATGGACTTGGGACTAATGCATTTGGGCTGACAGTTGCGCCAGAAGGCGGAGGAACCTTGGCAAGTTAATGTTGTTTTGGGGACCCTGGGGGTGGATGTTATTGTTTGTAAACCCCAGGAGATAAAAAATCAGGCATAGCTGGTGGGCCTTAGTAGAAGAGCCCATGACTGGCTGAGGGAGGAAGCCCTTGCCAAGGTCTCTGCAGCCAGGCAGAGAAAAAAGCCAATTTAGAAAGGCAAAAGCTGGTGCTCAGATTGGGAATCCCTGAGCGGCTGTTAAGCAGCTTGAATATGTTGAAGGCCAGGGAGTCTCTTAAAATAACCTGTGGGTGATGTCCTACCCATCTTTGAGTGAGGGTGAGGAGCTGAGGAACCCGTCCTTGGAGGACGGGTGGGGAACATGGCTTGTGGTGGAGCCCAAGGCAGAGGGGACCCAAGAGAGGCCGCATGTGGAGCTTGCATTCACAGATCCCCAACTCATGTGCTTGTGCAGTGGGCTGGCCTGAGTGCAGGGGTCTGCATGTCGCATTGGTGGCTATGAAAGCCGAGTGTTGGAGTGACCGCAGACAGAACCCTGAGGATTGGCGATTACCCCCAACAGTATAGAATCACCAATCCAAGAGTGAGTGCATCCTGGGGGTGAATGCTGTGTGTGGCTTGTGGCCGAGACCACAGCCAGAGAAGGCCAGGAAGCTGACAGCTCCTGGCATGCGACAGCAGATGCCTGAGTGGTTCCCCCCTGGTAAGAGCAGTGCATTCGGCAGCAGATTTGGTGGATCATCTGCTAGTGCCAATAATCTTGTCTTTTGCCACTAGTTTGGTGCCCTGCCTGGACTTTTTTGTGTTCTGTTGTACTTTGTTATATTGTGATGTATTCTATTTATTTTGTGGGCCAAGGCTGCAGTGTATATATTTGTTAAGGGAAAATTGTATATAAGATTTAAGTAGATTGTGTGGCAGAAAACCCTGAGGGGGTGGATTGTAGGGTAAATGGTTTTCAGGCTTTTCTGCCCTCCAGCCATTAGGATTGATGATGGATCCTTGAGGTCCTAAATGCACGCCTGAAGGCGGGCACCTGGAGTAGGGTGTGGGCATATGTAGATGGGATTCACCTGGGCTAAGACTGCACTTACAAGGGCAGTGTCACGGGGACCCCAGCAGAACCAGCAGAAGCAAAAGAACCACAAGAGCAGCAGAGAACAAGACCACCAGAGAACGCCGGAGAGCCCAGAAAGAGTGAAGACTTGCCTGCCAGCCTCCTAGGCCCTGGCACCCCTTGCTAGCCGTGTACCTGGTAAATCCCAATAAAAGTCTGAAAAGCCACTGAGGGGTCCAGGACCTCTCCTCCTTACCCCATCTGCTTGGATCATAGAGATCCTGCACTGTGGCCATCCTGCCACTACACTTGGCTTTAAAAAAAGTACATTCTGGTGAGTGATAGTGACAATGGAGAATGCTGTGCATGTGTGTGTGTGTGGAAGGAGGGGTTATGAAAAATCTTTGTACATTCCTCTCAATCTTGTAAACCTAAAATGGCTCTTCAAAAAAAAATCTTTAAAAACTATTGTGGTCCCCAAATATCTATTGTTATTTACCATATCACACATTTTAACAGAAAAATTATTTAAATACATGTTTACTCATTTGCAATTAATAAACTCAAATATTTTTATGAAAACTGTATTTTCCAAAACAAAGCACAGTAATTAAAGTGGCATTATCTAGCATTTTTACAAATCCCTTTTTACAAATCCCCTTTACAAAACCCCCAGGGAGTTTCCAGACCACACTTTGAGAAATCACAAAAATCTATGTGTTGAAGAAAAAAAAAAAAGCAGGGTCCCCAGACATTTAAATACACCCATCTTATACATCTCACCTTTTCTAAGCCCGCCATCCATAACCCCCATACACACACAGCAGGTACCCCATTTTCTTTTCCAAGATCCCACTCTTATTCAAGGCATCTCCTTCCCTCTCTGCCCAGTTCATTTCTAAGAGAGAAACTCAACTGTAGGCTGAGCTAATTAGCTAACCCTGCCTTGGAACATACTTTTATTAGGGTCTTTCTTAAGCTAAAATTCCTGAGCACGGTTCTAAAGAATGCTTTTCAGACCACCTGAGAAGAGATCCACACGCTGCCTGGCACAGTGCTGAGTTCTGGTCCTGACCTGATGGTCACTGAGCCATTTTATTCACCTGTAAACTTGAGATCCCTCTGCCAATTTCTCATCGCTGTCGTGGCGTCAAACGATGTCGTGACCAGAGCCCACTTTACTGCCCAAGTACCCCTGCTGCTGTGCAGCTGCCCACCTGTGCACACCTGTGCTCCGTGGGGACCCCTGGGGTTCTGTCCCACCTCCCCGACGCCCAGATATGCCCAATTCTTCCCAGTCTCAGCAAAATGCCCTGTCTTCCCGGTAGGCTCACCCGGGATGACGCCGTTCTGCCCCCTTTTCTGCTCACCTGTTCCGGACACCATTTTTCATGGGCCCCCGAGCACCGTCCACGCCCTCCCCGACCCGCTTTTTCTGCACGGACAGCGGGACATAGAGGGGTGTAAACTCAAGAAACAGAATTAAAAGCAAAGCCAAACCCTCCAGCCTCGACTCTCCACCGAGCACCACGCCTGCAGCTGCGGAGCCCACCCATTCACCCCGACGCGGCAGGCGGAGGGCCCCTCCCCTCCCCCCAGGCCGATGGAGTCAGTAGCGACCACACATTTAGGGGGGAGAGTCCATCATCCGCGGAGGTTAGTTGGGCCCCGGCTCTCGCGCGCCGCTGGCGCCCGCCCTTCCTAGCCCTCAGCCCGGCGCACCCGGCGGCGCCGGCGGGGACACTCAAAAAATACACCCATCTCATACATCTCACCTTTCACCTTTTGTAAGCCCGCCATCCATAACCCCAGACACGCACAGCAGGTACCCCATCTTCTTTGCCAGGGAATTCCCCGCCAGGGGACTCGGAGGACGCGGCCGGCGGGCGGGGCGCGGGGCGCGGGGCGCGGTGCCGGCCACCGCGAGGTACCTGTGCCGGAAGAGTGGGCAGCCGCCCAGGACCCTGCGCAACTCGTTCTTGAGGCTCCAGAACTCGCCGTCCAGGTAGCGGTGCAGGGACGAGTCCCCGAGCCCCAGGATGGGCGCGGACTCCATGGCGCGGGCGGGTCTCTGACTTTTCTGGGGGAACCGCGCGGCGGCTTCCCTCCGCGCCTCGGAGCGGCCGGCCTGTGCGGCCGGGGAGCGCACGCCCTGCCCTCTTTATCCCTCCCCGCGGGGCCGTCTCCTCCCCCCTCGCCCTGCCCCTCCCTTCCCCCCCGCGCGCGCTCCCCGGTCCGCTCTCTGTGCACCCAGCGACTAGCTGCCCAAGGAGTCGGGCCCCCTGCAGTAACGCCTCTGGCACTTCCGAGAACCTCAAACCCGCCGCTTTGCCCTGGGGCTTTGGTTTCTGTAGTCAGTTGCCCCTCCCGTGCGTGCGTGGAAGGAAGGAAGTAGCATCTGCACCACAGAGGAGAGCTGGGCAAGCGGACATGGAGTCCTGGCCGCTTCTAGTGGGGACATTTTACTCAGGAGACCTCGGGTGCAACTTCTTTGCCAGGACCCCCAGATCCAAGAGGACCTGGTAGGTGCTCTTGGGTCAACTCAGGTTCATCTCAACCCAAATCTCTTCTTCCCCAAATTTGGCATTACCATAAAGTTTAATATTTCTGTAATCTCGAGGTGACCAAAGCTCCCCTCCGCTGGCAATTCAGGGTAGCTGGGCGATGCAGATAGAACAAGGTTCCCTCACTGCAGTTCCTGGCGGTCAGAACAGTCACAGCTATGTGGCCACACAGGCTTTTGAAGCTTCCAACTGGAAGGAATACATTCAACTTCCACTCTCAACCCATTGGCCAAAGCAGTTCTTTCCTGACTCCGGGAGAAGGGAGGTATTACCTGCACATACCCAGGAGGCGAGCGCCCAAAATAAAAAGTCTGTGGATGGCAGTACTGACTGACACTAAATCTGTCCCTCTGGTAGTCAAGAATTTGACTCATTTTCACTTCCACGGGCAAAATGCCCTTTCTGCTTCTCAAAGGAAGCAACCAAAGTCCTGTACTATTCACTGTCAAGTCTAAGACCCATAAGAGATACCCAGTGGTGTCTGTATCAAGTCAGGATGTGAAGATATGGTTCTTCTTGACACAGAGACCTATGAGCTTAAAAAACAAAATGTTATTAAGTTACCTTCCAAGTGCATGTAGCTTGAATGAGAAAAAATATATATATATACATATATATGCTTAAAGACTAGGATGGGCAGGGAGAATGTTGTTACCACATTTTTTATAAGCCCCCCCCCCCAAGTGATTCTAATGTGATACCATTAGCTTAGCTGGTCCTCAGCTTTGCTGAGTCTGCTACATCGTTGGGACATTTGGAAGATTTAATCAAACTGTATCTCATAAATTATTGTATCATGGTCAGTTTCCCTTTTTTTTATTCTTTTTTTTTAAGATTTATTTATTCATGCATACAAGAAACTGGGTACAGGCCAGATGCGCAGGAGGGTGAGAGGACTCACCAGAGAGAGCGGGGAGTAGAACAGGCAGACTGACTGAAATACACTGCTGAGGGGAGCAGCAGGCAAGACAGGAGACATCTGCCGCGCCATGTGGGTACATCCCTGGCCAGCCAGGATTGAACCTGCACTGCAGAGGCTGCAGACAGCTTCACAGCGCTGTGCTCAACTGCCTGCAGCCCCAGGGGAGGCCCAGTTTCTTGATTTCAATTATTGTACTGTGAATAGATGAATGTTTTTGTTTTTATGAAATGCAAATTGAAGTATTTAGGGGCAACTAAGTCAAATGAGTCAGAAAAATAAATGCGTGTGTATGTGTATATATATATGTGTGTATATATAGATAATGTGTGTACACGCAGAGAACATAAAAATATATGTACACATATATGTGGTATATGTGTATATATACACTGTAGATATATACACGTGTGTGTGTATATATATATATATAAATATATATATATAAATATATATATATATATATATATATATATATATATATATATGAGGGAGAGAGAGAAAAATAAAATGAGCCTTTGCTGGACTAGTTGACCAGGACTTTCTCAGTTATAAGTAATAAAGTTCTAAGTAATAAAAATCATTTTGAACTCTCTTCAGCAAAATAGAAATATATTGGCTCACAAAATTGAAGGCAGGCTCAGACATGCCTCACTAGGAGGGTGTGAGTGTGTCCAGTATCACAACTTCCACCAAGAGTCATGTGCCCTTAGGCAAATTGGTTAACATTGCTTGTCATTCACCTGTAGAAGGAACTTCAGGGAAACTTGCCTAATGCACATGACCATGTCAACATCCAAAAAGCCACAGCATGTGGGAATTCTCTCCATGTGCTCTAGCTGAGGGGTCACCTCTCTCACAGGGGCTAAGGGGATGGGAGCAGCAGAACACCTGGGGTCAGCTGCCCCAAGCCCATCAGCTCTCTGTCCTCACTCTCCCCCGACAGACCCTGTTTCTCAGAACAGACCTAACTCTACCAGACAGAAAATACAAAGGCCAACCATTCCCAAGGCTCAGGTTCCACAGCTTCAACCACCAAAAGTTCTTCTCCCCTCATTTCCACTTCTAGTGGTTGTAGAAAAGGACTTTGACTGACCTTAGTGTGTACCAAATTCCCACATCTGGCCAATCAACTAGTGGGAGGAGAAATTATATAAGGACATGACAAATGCTTCCGAGACCTGGTGGCCCTGGCAGGGGATGAGGGGGTTATGCCACCCCATCCAGCTACCCCTGGCATTGTTTTTGACAGATACCTCTCCGATTTTCTGAAATCTTTCCCCAGCCTTTTTCCATAAAGACTTCAACCCTGACAGGCAGCAAAACAGAACCAAAGCACCATCCTCTCCAGAACCCTTCAGGGACCTCTGGGCTGTCCTATCCAGTAATACCCAGTCATGTTCCCTTCAAGGCTATCAATGAGATATAGAAGGTCAAAGGACATAGGGTAGATGTGCCAGCTCTTCTGGGCCAAACTCAGAAAACCTTCCCCAACAAGATACCAAAAGGAAGACATGGAGAGGAAAGCTGTGTTAAGACTTAGGGTCTTTGCAGGGGCACCTCAGAAGAGGAATGAAGGAACCCAGTAGTCATAGGTCTCTCCGAATGTTGCAAGACCCACAGTGGACTAGGGGTGGCATCTGGGCTTGTGCCCAGGGGCTACCCTGTAGTCCTAGAGCCTCCATACAAATGTGAGGATCATGAATAGCTATTCTCTCTGTGCTGCTCCCATCCCCTTAGCTCCTATAACAGAGGTGACCTCTCAGCTGGAGCACATGGAGAGAATTCCCACATGCTGTGGCTTTTTGGATGTTGACACGATCATGTGCATTAGGCAGGCAAGTTTCCTTGAAGTTCCTTCTACAGGTGAATGACAAGCAACGTTAACCAAATTGCCCAAGGGCACATGACTCTTAGTGGCAAAGAACCCAGGATTCACAGGACTCTAAGTGCCCCCTACATCACAATACCCAGATAGGCTGGCCTGGGGGCCTTGGTGGACTTTGTGGACAATGCTTCTCTGGAGGCCTGAGGCATGAATATGACAGTCGGAGGCACAGGGTTCTGTGGCAAGGCACAAATTGTTCTCAGGGGACTTTGGTGTGTTTCATAAAAATCATGGAACCATAAATGTCAAGGCTGGGAGCACACTGGAGCTTGTCCAGTCAGTCACTTCCTTTCAGATAAAGGCTGTGCAGGGCATAGTGCCTACTGAAGTAGTCTGGTTCTCCTCTAGGGTTTGAGGAGGAAAATGGGAAAGTTTGGGAAATGAATTTACAGCATCCTTCATGCTTCCCAGTACGCCCCAGTTTGTATATTTTGGGAGTTCCAGTGAAGGTAATATTTCAGATTTACCTGGCCTGTGCCTCACCTTTATGTGGTCTTAGTCACTTATTAAGCCCTTCCTTCCTATCTTGCCAATGTGTCCAGGAATCCTGAGGGTTTTCTCCCATGTGATCTCCCACTGCCATCCCACTGGACACTGTCTGACTCCCATGGAACCCTGGGGCCAATAGGTGGTATGTGGACAAGGAAGCCAAAAAACACTGCTTTCCTTTATGTTGTCACTTCGTAAACAGGCATAGTTTGCAACGGGAAAACTTTGGCTGCTTTTGCTTATTTTTCATCTTAGCCCAGTGAAATGGCTGTTTTTCTCAGAGGAGATTCTGACAATTTCCTCCTCACATTTTCATTCCAGAAGTCCTGCCTCAGACTTAACACCTCTAGACTAAGTGCAGTATCTATTTCACAGTTTCTACCCTTGCCACTTCTCTTTCACAACCTTTAATTCTACAAAAGTCTTTAGTTTGAGAAACTATTAGCCCATATATGCTTCTGTCACTCTAATGCAAGATATCCAGTCACTTTAATATTACAATTTAGCAACAATTACATCATTATGTGTTAATGTCTTACAAGTTAATACTGCACATATTGTTCAATTTTTCTACCACAACAACTATGTAACTTTAGTATTTTTGTCTTGATCCTATACACGGAAGCTGTTTCACTAAGATTAACTGGACCAAGACTACATAGCCAGTAAGGTGAAGCCAAGGCAAAAGTTCCAATATTTTGACCTCAGGACTATCTTCAGGCTAGACAATGCATGCCATTTCAAAAATAATCACACAAAGAATGGACTAGTGTCTCAAACAAAGCTACACTGCTCGTAAGTGGAGAAACTCGGGCAATATGGGCTTGGGGCAAAGAAAGACAATATCTTTCCTTGTGAGTCTAGGAACATTTTATAACAAACACTAGACAACCTTTAATTCCTCTTTGTATAGCACTGGGTAATAGGGAGGGGGTAGAAGAGAAAGCTAATATGATGCCTGAGATTGAATTCCCCACCTATCCCTGGAGGGTGGGGTTGTGGGCTGTGCACATACAAGTTCATGGATGCGAATTCACACATACCATATTTGCTTTGAAGGGTTGTGTAATATTTGATCTGAAAGTGTTCTTAGACTTCTTCCTTTCCCTTCCTGCTGCCTGGTAAAATATATTGATTTGAAAGAGACTGGAATAAGTGTTGGCCAGTGAGAAAAAGAAACTCGTATTCACTGTTGGTTGGAATGTAAACTGATGCAACCTCTGTGGAAAATAGTATGGAGTTTCCTTAAAAAAT